GGGGTTCTAGGCAGATATTTAAGCAATCCAGGAATAGACCATTGAAAAGCAGCAAAAAGGGTCATAAGATATTTAAAGAGAACAAAAGATTATATGCTCATATATAGGAGGTCAGACCAGTTGGAGATCGCTGGGTTTTCTGACTCAGATTTTGTAGGATGTCAAGAATTTGTAACTTGCTATGAGGTATCAAATCATGGAATATGGCTGATAAATTTTGTTACAGGGCTGCAAATTGTGAAAGGCATTGAAAGACCACTTAAGTTATATTGTGACAATAAATCAGCTGTATTGTTAAGAAAAAAGTACAAAGTGGACAAATTTTCATAGAACACTTAAGGACAAACTCCATGATACCAGATCCTCTGACTAAAGGACTTCCGCTCAAGGTCTTTCATGAGCATTTTGCTCACATGGGTGTTTTACAGTTTGAGGAATTTGTGGTTTAGTGGGAGTTAGTCACTTTTATATATTTTATGTTTAATTTCATATATGTATACATTGTTTTTTGGACATATTTGGTTATCTATAGATATGCGGTTTTTTCGTTCATTCATTACACTTTATACATTAAGGATATTATATTGATCTCAATAACTTAAAGTTTGGACCAGTTGAAAATAGATGTGTACAGATCACCTTCACGTAATTTTTCATGCTACACATTTCATGATGAATCCATGTCATTTGGTTATGTTAAGATGAGTAATCATTGTTGGTTTTAGTTGCGATGATGCAATGAAAAGCTGGTTTGGTTCTATATCCTAATATAATTAATGGACAGGACTTTTGGAGTATGCTAAAGGAATATAATGGCAATTTTGAGCTCATAAAGTCTAACACATTTGTAAGGTTGTAAGGACATATATATTTGTGACCAGTGGGAGATTGTTGGAAAAATTTGGGTCATGTATATATATGATACATAATTTAAATGTGTTAGGGCCATTATTTATTAAGCCAAATAATAAAGTGATCTGACTAAATTAAAGTTTTTGCTAAAAGCATATGTCATGAAAATAAAATTGTGTAGAGACCATAGAGCAATTTCTAATTTGATGAGGGGTCAAATTGGAAATACTAAAACTTAAGTAATTAACCTAATTCTGGTTATCTAAAGGGTCATGGTCCCCTTCGAGAGCACACACACGAACGTAAGTATCGAGTCCGTTCCTTTCTTTCTATCCCCATCAAGAGAGAAAATCAAGAGGAAATACAGGTGCTTCTTCAGGTGGAAGACCATAAGATCAATATAGTGCTCTACAAAGACATCATCGTTATGGCTAATTCGAGTACGCTTTCGCATTCAGTTTACAGCATGTTTATCGAGTATGGGATTATGTTTATGTTTGATTGTTAGAATCAAAATCAGGATTATTATTATTATTATTATTATTATTATTATTATTATTATTATTATTATTATTATTATTATTAATAATTTTCCAACACCAACAACAACTCGTATTTACAATGAGATTAATGAACCTATTCTAAATAAGTAAAAAAAAATCATTTTATCAAAATAAAAGTGATCATCGTAAAAATTATCCATTTAAAAAAATGAAAATATAAAATTTTATTTTTTGTATATAATATATACATATTTTTTCATTCATACTTTCTTTTTAATAATTTAATATATTTAAATATTATTTAATATTATAAACATCTAAATAATAATTAATTATTTATTTTATCAAAATTTTAATTAAATAAATTTTAAAAATATATGACCTAAAGTCATTAATAAATTTATAATTTTAACATAAAAAAAGTTAAACAAGGTTGTCAATTGACAATTTTAATATAAAAAATTAAATTAAAATTCTCAATGGATTTCAATCTAAAAAAATTGTGCTAAAATCTTTAATTAAAATATCACTTAAAAAAAATCGTACATTTATATACGATTTTAGTCAAAATCGTCTTTCCATTAACGATTTTATATAATAAAATTGTATATCAAAATAAAGGGACTTAATTATATGGAAAATTTTAAAAATTACCAATTTTAAGAGTAAATAAAGTAAATCACATTGATAAATTTGACAAACTTTTAAGACTATAAACTCAAATCAGCCAAGAAGTGAATTCGTTTTTTTTTCTTTTTAATATCTTAAGACATACAAACTAGTAATATAATGGCAAATTGTATGTAAAAAAGTGTGGAGTAAGTCATAAAAGTGAAGCATGCGAAGGGCGTAAAAAGTTACCATTGATAGAGGCACTTGTTTGTAATGAAGTTATTTGATGAGGTATAAAATTAGTATTAAAAAACGATGGAAGTAATGTTTGCAGTGAAGCATATGGTGACGATAAATTTTTTGTTATTTTGCCTATTTTTTAAGCTTTGGTTACGATATGGTACTTTTGTGTTATATAAATAATAGTATAATGAGATCTACTCAATTTCATACAATTCTTTTTGGTGGTGAGTTTAGTGCGGACAAAATGAGATCGTGGAATATTGTTGTCATTCAATTTAACGCATTTCTCCTTTCGTTTTAGTTTTATCAAACCTAGAGGACTGTTTCGTGTCACCAAAGAAAAACCTCAAATGAAAAATAATAAAATAAATAAATAGATTATTTGTCAACACTTATTTGTTTCAAATAAAATATTACATATTTATTTTATTTTCCTTTAATAAAATTATTTTTATTTTATAAATTACGCTAAATATTTTATATTTTCAATATAATATTAAAATCTATTTTAATAAGATTAGTTTGGTCTATCACTCTACTAATTAATCATCCTTAAATTTTTAATTTCGTGTTCTTGAGATATTATGAATTGAAAATCTCAAGTAAAATAAAATGTAGCTAAAAAAAACAAATGATTATATAATTAATTTTAAATTTTTTTACGAGAGTAATTTTATTATTTAATTACTTTAAATATATATATATATATATATATATATATATATATATATATATGTGTGTGTGTGTGTGTGTGTGATTTTTTTATTGATTCAATATTACATCATATTGTCCAGATCTCATCAAAATTTATAAAATGTTATAAAAATTTCTCCAAAAGGAATATTAATATTAAAATTAACTGTCACGGAGACTGTATGAATTTCAAGATTTCATGAAAAAGACAAGAATAACGACAGAGGATTTCTGTTTAGAAATTGAATTTAAGATTTAGAATCTATAATTTAGTGTTTGATATTAAAATATATATTGTTTAAGCAATATTAATTCAGATAATCTCTACTTAATATTAGTCGAAGCATCAACTAAGAAAACTTTTATCAATAATGTTTATTACTAGATAGTAAATCAATTGTAGTTGAGATTAATTAAAAGTAACATTCAATATTAATCGAGTAGAAGTCCTATCAATGTCAACAAAGATACGTAGATTTTGGTTGAAAAATATATTCATGACCAAAAAAGTCATTAAATAATAACTTCAAATTATTAAGTAATTTTAATACTATAATAAAAATTATTCAATTAAAAAATTAATAACTTTAAATTATTCTATTAATATTATTTTGTAAGTTTAAAAGTTTCCATGTGATGTCGCTATAAAATGTACCTACATTAAAGAAAAAGAGAAATATTGTACTAATAACATTTCTATTACTTGTTGATTTCACCATTTTTTTTAAGCAAATATCATTTGGCTTCATTGCAATTTTTAAATTAAGTGACATTTTTCTTCGTGAACATGTTATTATTCCACAGTCAAAGAGAACAAGTGACCAATACATATCATATCATATCACATCCCATCATTTCTTTTTGATAATATTATTATACCTTAACGGCACCACTGTGTCAAACATTAATTGCTGAAACAATATTCATACACATTAAAATTTTCAAAATTATAATGTAATTTGTATATATAAAAAATAATTACAACATAGAAATCAAAGGCAGCATAATTATAATTGAGATGCTACTAAAAATGTTTTAAAAACCCTAATTTGGCACGTTATGAGAGAATAATAATTTTCGCGAAACTCATCAATAGTTAATATTTAAATTATACCTTTAGTTTTGTTGTTTTAACATTTAACAAAAAATTCAATTACTAATGCATTTTTGTCATGTTTTTTATATTATGCGAAATTGCAAACAGATATGGTCAGTCATAATTATATATAATTGTGAACACTAAAATAAATCTGGACGTTGGCCAAAAAACGGCTTTTTAAAACCTTGATATTTAATAAAGTATATTTAGATAATTTTTTATTTAAATAAAGTTAACTCAAACTTTTGTTTAATTAGCAAAAGTATAAAAAGCATGTGATGTAGCATTTATACACACGAGTAGAGAAGTATTGAATATTTAAAAACAAAACTTTTCTCATTTCATTTGTATTTAAATATTCCATATGTATTACAGATAAATAATACCTTAAAAATCCCATTATGTCGATACATTTAGGTTTAGTAAAAAAAAAATTATACGATAAACTAGTAAAATTTACGAACTCAATTCCTGGAATTCAACTCCTCTGTTTCATTTGTTACATTTTTTTTCCGGTAAGAACATTCTTCAGTTAGTTCCTCAGATCTTAGAAACTGTGCAAGTAATAAAGCTCCAAAACCTGAACTGTGTAATCAACTCTGATGAATCAAAACAGAGGCATGTTCATACACATGTATCTTGCTACCTATTCATCATAACCTTTCGATAATGTCTCAACGTGTGTGGATAGTGTTTCCATATAAACGAACTTGAACATGATCACATCATCATCATCAGGGAACCCAATTGTTTTCCATTCCCTTTATATAACTTTTTAACAAAGTTCGTCAAAAATGAAACCACAATTAAAAAGGAAAAGGAAGAAGAAAGAAGATTATTATTATTTTTTTTTTCACATGGAAGGATGCATACAAATTACAAGGAACTTGGGTTTCCTTATGCTTTCTCTTCCAATATAATTACATATATGATGAAAGAAAGTAGAGGGAAAGAGTTGAAAAGGGAAATAAAAAGATTAAAAGAAGAAGAAGAGAACTTTACATGAAGATGGTTCGAGGGCGATTCGATCCAAGACGAGAAGGGTAGGTAGACAAGTTAACCCCAACGGGGATTGCAAAAGTACTCTCCATGAAAAGACGTTGCTGAAAGGTTTCAATGGTGGACCCAGCTTCGACAAGATCCTTAACAAGGTTGCTGTAGTATTCCTTAAGCCTCTTCAACATGCGAACATATTGTAACTTGAGCCACCTTAAACGCACCTTTCGAAACATCCTAAGTAGCCCGAAAATTCGGCGGCGCGGCTTCTTGGCACCGAGCCGCACCGTCTGCACCTTCCGGCGGCGGAGCAAGGGAAGCCTCCGGCGGGTTTGGCTCGGCCACACGGAGGGTTGTCGATCGACTGCCATGGTGAGAGCGAGCATGTAGACGAAGAAGAAGGAGGGGAGAGAAAACGCAAAAAGGTGAAGTAAGAATTTTTACGAAAGGGTGTTTGTTTGTTTGCTTATAAATGGGAATAGGAAGCATAAAAATTGTACTACGTGGTGATGTGAGTGACATTGATAGACACAAGGGTTGACTTAAAATAATAGCAACGCATTTTTGGGGAAACACAAGTTGTTCAATCCATTGCTTTTGCAAAATCCATTGGGTTATGGTTTTGTTTTGGGAGTGGAATAAAAAAAATCTTCTATTTTTATTTATTTTTTTCTTTCATTTATTTTCATTTCTACCAACACAAGTATGTTAAAAAATTGAAAATTGAGAGTAAAAAAGAGTTATTGTGTGTATAAATAACTGCATGCATTTGGTGATAAATTCATAAATAATTCTCTTACGTAACAGCATTTGTCTTGTTTATTATTTTCGGTCGTTACATTTTTATTTTAAGTTATTATCATGTACGGGTTTGGAGGAAGATCGAGGTTGATGATCGATTGTGAGTTTAATAATGAAATAGGGTAACGCAAACGCAAACGCAAGTCTTTAATTTAAGGAATTATAATATTAAGTGAGGCATCAAAGAATAATGGCCAGCAAGAATTGCCATGTTGCTATAAAAAAAATTGATTAGGAAATAATTAAGTTGTGGTATTTTAAGATTAGGACATAAAAACTTTGATGATAATTTATAAAAATACTTACAAACACACTTTGGTCATGCATGGGCTAGTAGATGTCTTTTTCAATGATCCTGTATTTTATTAATTGGAAAGAAAAAATAGTGATGAACAAAATTTATGGACTACAGAAAGAAATAATGGAAAGATGGAAGGGAGATTTGAATGAAAGCATTGACGAAACAAAGAGATAGCATTTGCAAAAGATGATCTTAAAAGTACTTTGCTTGTGAAGGTAGCATTGCTGGTTTTGGAGGGTGGGAATGGCAGGAACAGAGAAGGGCATTGGCCTTTTGAGTTTGGAATTTGGAGTACAATCCACATGGCCACTGGTTTTCCTTGCGTGTAACAGTTTGCACAAACACAAGCAGGTGGCGTGCATGGTCATGTCACATGAGGAACTTCCCATTCTTACCAACATTTCTCACTCTATGTTTTATCGTAATTTACTCAAACAAAATGCAAGTCACACACATACACACCCATCAATCAATATCAAAATAATAATATTCTTTCATGTTTTCTTTTGCAAAAATAACATTAGTATTTATTTATTGATATAGTGTGATATGATTACTCGAGATTTTTTTTTTTAAATGTATCGTCGAATATTTGAAAAATCAAATTTGATTAATGTTTTTAAGAAAAATTGAAATGATAAAATTTCAACTGTTCCAAATACCTTCCTAAAATTATTTCTTTACAAAATATCGGTGCTACGTTTAAGAAATAATCAAATAAAATTTAAAATATACATATCCAATTGCATTATTAAAAAAAAATCCTAATTTAGTTCTTAATCTTTAAAAAGTGTGATAAAATATTGTTTTGGCCAAGGATTTGAGTTGTTATTGAATATCTGATGGTGAAGTGTTTGCATAGTATTTTGGTCTAAAGGAAGTCCACAATTTCTGCATGACAATCACTTCTGTTTTGCTACAAACACTTCATCATCATGTTTTTGTTGATTGTTTCCGAATCTACATCTTCTTAGGGCAGACAACACTGTGTGGGAGTTTGATAGACATGGTCCCTACTCCCTACAATCAACAGTTTCAACTGAGCCCTACTTCCCATGCTTCCTGTTACTTAACTTCTTCTTCTTTTTCAGTAGATATGATCCACACAATATCCCAAAAATTGACCAACAGAAACTAATATGTACTAGCAAGGCTTAACTTTTGTTGGTTGAACATTTTTGTTGGTTATGCAGATAGGGCATGTGATCTGATAATAAAATAAGAAATGAAAATATGGATGAGTATATGAATATATAACTATTGTAGACATAATTGTTGTTGCTGTTATGTAAAACATGGGGACATACACTAGTCCAATCCAATTCATAAGCTGTTGATATATAGACTGAAAAGGAACCAAACAGAGAATGAGAAGAGTTGTTGATACGGAAAATAATGTTCACACGCCATTTCTAGAACAGGATTCTCGTTGAAATCATGTATTGGTGTTTGGATAACACTACTTCCTGTGAGCTCGTGACCCTGTCATTACTTTGTTTGCTACCACAAATTTGATTATGAAACCTGCTTTTCTTCTTGTCCCAACGTTTAATATCCTCTTTTATATTCAAAAATTGAATGTAATTTCCTGATATAAGTAAATTCCATCCAGAATTACAAAGGCACTGATAATGTAAATGAATAAAAAGAAAGAGAAAAGGAGTATATCTCTCTCTGAGAGTTATGTATGTAACAGAAGAAACAAATAAGTATAGTTTTAACCGAGTTTCAGCGAATTTTTTACCTTAATTTAGTCAAAAGTACAGCTTACGTTTTATATGAATCGCTTATAGAAGTAAAAAGCGAGTTCCACATATGTTTGTATTATCTTTTATAGAATCTGTCAGAAAGAAAAAGTAAAAATGACACCACCATTAAAAATGTTGAAACAAGAACCGGATTAAAATATGGTCTTGGAGTCACATGTGGCACAATCTTTTTGTATGACATATCTGACTTCGTAATAGTATGTAAACAAAGGATTCAGACCCTCTGCTGTTGTGTTTTTAAACTGCATGGGATCTTGGCCCTTACATCGTTGTGTTTATTTTACAGAAGAGTTAATAAATAACTGTATACCGTTGTTAATAGAGGCAATTGGATCCAAATTGTACCTGATGCTAGAGAATCCATATCCGTAAATAATTTACAAAAGGGTGCAAAAGGCATGGTAAATTATTATAGTTCTTGAGCAGGAAACATAAGTATGAAGACAAAATATATCTGTACATATTATCAGCTTTCAAGGGTTGAGTTCCTACACTTGATGGAAATGTTATCAGTGTAGCCATTATATAATTTGGGTAATCATTATTTTATAAGTTGAGTTAAATTATTTGCCTAAATATTTAGACATTATTAGAGTTTATCCTATATTTATTGTTTGTTCACTTACATATACACTCAGAGTTCTGCAGTCCTATGAGTAAGAGGGTATATTTAGTACCAATAGATAAGGCCTAATGTTTACAAATATTGACAAACTTTACCTAGCAAATAAGTTTTATGAAACTGAGTTATGTTCTCTAAGTGCAACTTATATCCAAGTTTATTTTTGCTACTTATCATTTTATTACTCTGTTACTCCCTCCATCAACAATCTCTTTCAGCAGGAATGAAGAAAGCTGTGACGAGTGAAGATAGTTTCTCTGCCGTATGATTGAAGGAATGTGAAGGGAGAGAAAGGTATTAATTAATGACTTTGAGGGCTTGTGATTCATTCTTCCATTAAGGATAATCATGACTTGAGCTTTGCTCTTAATGCATATGAAAGCGGTGAGTATCTTTGAAGGAGGTTATTTTTTAGGGGTATCTTGTTTGACAACGTAAGTCTCTTTGTATATATACAATGTGACTCAAACAAAAATATATCTTAATCACAAATAATACATGAGTATTATATTAGTAATCTCTTCTTTATTTATTATGCGGTTTACTATAATGAATAGTTTGTCGGAAATCTCCTCTCAAAAAGACTTTTAATATAAAAATTTACAAATTTATGACATGTTATTTATTTTATGTTGTACTCGATCAAACCGATCATCCATTATTATGACAAATCTTCGACGCTATTGAATATTTTCGAAAAAGACAACATCTGAGAAATATTTATAGATAAACGTTGTAAGAATATAATATAACATTTCATTTAAAATCTAACAAGAATTTTGATTAAATAAGGTATCTTATTCTCTTAATATAATTAATTCTTGTATCTCAATATCCGGTGTTTGATCTTAGAAATACTCTAACAAATAGTTGATGGAAAATGAACCGCTGATAAGCTCTAAAAGAACCTTGTTATGTGATAGCTTTCAAGATAATTTCATGAGCATGCCTGTTCATCAGGTTTTCCAGTTGAAATACATACATGCATTTGACCATGATCCGTGAATCAAGTTATTCAATTTACTGGAAGTTGTTGAAATTAATGCATTTTTACCTAACCGTACTGGCAGCCTCGTGAAATCATGAGAAAAAAACATTTCTAATGAGTACTATATTTGTACAATGAGCCAAAAGCAAGGGGAAAGACCCACAATCCAAATAAAATGTCAGCAATTTACACTGAATGCACAAAAATATAGTTTGAAAAGGAAATCAAAATTTCTAAAGTCAACACATTTCAGGACATCACACGATAGGACATTCTTAATGTGTCTGTTAATTGATTGTACGTTTAGTTATCCAGTATAAACTATACCTAAATTTTAGTTAGAGGAAGTTATTTAAGTTGATGCAAAAAGGACAACAATGTAATTGTCACTTTTATCATTATGAACATGCACGTTCATTGAGTTTTCAGGTACAATATTATTCAATGATACATTTAACCATGTATGTGAGTAAAGTTATTCAATTTCCTTACTTAAACTAGTTGATATTAATGCATTAAAGTCCTAAAAGTATTGGTATCCTCTTGACGTCAGAGAGAGGATAGGATAGGCCACAAAGGATTCAAATGTTCTTAGGTGTTCAACTAAGTTACATATACATCTCGTTTGGTATGGCACAGCATACCCTTACACACCGTATGAGGCATGTGTAGTATATTTTAGTCTTAGCATGATAGTAAAGACAACGATCAGAATTTAGCCGCATAATTTATTCGATGCCCTTCGTCATCTATTTCAATGTTATTCCGAGTACACTTGCATGAAACAGCATACTGCTAAAGTGTTTTGTAGTTTTTTACAATAAGCTTACAGAAAATTACAAAAACACTAAATAAGTCCATGTGAATTTCCACAGCAACACCAGACTGCATCATTCAACAATTGTCATCAAATGAGAGGAGCAGCTACAAAAGGCATGAAAATTTCAAATGTCCAAGGTTTATCAGCACTTTCATTGGTGCAACTCTGCCATATACATCTCTTTCAGGACGACACCACCTCAACATGATAATCATGCCAAACCACAGTAATCTGAAATGAACCATCTTACAAATCACATCTCATTCCCAGATCCTATTTCATCCCCTTAAATTATTAGAATACGTTCATCAACTACTTCAAAGTTGTTATTTGTAGCTTTTGTAGTAAAAACTAAGAAGAAAAAAAAACTACAAAGATACTAAATCCATAACCTGGGAATGACGTGTCTCCCTAGCAATTCAAAGGGATGATGAGGAATCGTCAGTCCATTTACATGTAACAGCAATTGGACTCCTTACAACGTGACTTCCATCAGTCCATTCAATTGACCCAAAACTCTCAGAAGTATCGGGTGTAACTCTACTAAACGCAACCTCAAATGCCAGTGTCCTGGTTTCACCACTGAACACAAGTGTTCTGGGGGACACACTAACTTCAACACCCCGTGGAGCATTCACTTTCACAGTGTAAACAGCATCAACAGCACTTCCCACATTAGTAACAACCCTTTTATACTTAACCACATCACTTACCCCGCCCAACTCCACAGCGAAAGAAGGGTAATTCAAATCACCCGGACTAGCAAACTTCCCAGTCCTACCCACTTTCCCTTCACAAACATTTGCAGCAGCAGGCTCTCCAGTGAAAACCGCAATCTGATTAGCATCATACCCAATTGAGCACAAAAATGCCAAATAGTCATTACTATCAGAATCATAAACCAATCCAGGGTTAAGAGCCCTATTGGGATCAACATGACCAGCCCCATGAATAAACGGATTTGACTCCTTCCCAGTTCCAAGATCCTTGATATTCCCTCCAGAATTATCCACATTATAAGCAGTTGTCATCAAAGCAGACTTAATAGCTGCAGGTGACCACTCAGGATAGGCTTTCCTAAGCAATGCAGCGATGCCACTAGCATGAGGACAAGCCATAGAAGTCCCCGAAATTATGTTAAACTCAACCCTCCTAGGATCAATATCCAAATCCGTAGGCCCCACTCTCCCCGTCCACCCTGCCAAAATGTTAACACCAGGAGCAATAACATCAGGTTTGAGAATCTCCGAAGTGTGACGGTTGGGTCCACGGCTAGAAAATGAAGCAACTTGAGGAGCAGAAGGAGAACTCCCAATCACAGTTCCTTCAAACTCAATAGTCGCAGTTGGGTACTGACTCAACCTTATGTACTCCTTGATCTTATCCCCTGCAGTTTGACCCACCATAGTAGCTGCCAAAAGATGTGCATCAGCAAGAAGCTCTTCACCATTCTCTGCAGTGTTAGTCATAATCATTCCCAACCCACCAGCAAGCTTCACTGCACTCCCCTTCTCAACCCTAGCATTCCCACCCCTATCGCAAACAACAATCTTCCCTTGAACTTTAGAAGGTTCCAGAGATCCCAAGTAACAGTACCTGTTTCCACAATCTTTACCATAAACCAATGGAAGCTTAAAATCAGGCAAACTTTCACCGTAATACAAAGACACCCCACGGAAAACCCTTCCGTCCCCGAGAATAACATTAGCAGGAAACTCTCGATCGATGGTGGAAGCTCCAACTGTTAAAATCCACGGTGCAATGTTCACAGCGGTGTAAGGACCAGGCCCTGAGTTCCCAGCAGAACACGAAACCAGAACATTGTGACTAGCAGCGCCAAAAGCTCCCAAAGCGATTGAGTCACGGTAATACTGCGGCGCGTAACCAGAAGCGCCGACGGAAAGGGAAATCACGTGAACACCATCGGTGACAGCCTCGTCCATGGCGGCGAGGATGTCGGAATCAAAGCAACCGTATTTCCAGCAGATCTTGTAAGCGGCGATTCTAGCCTTTGTGGCCATTCCTCTGGCCTGGCCTTGCGCGTAGTGAAACAAACTCGCGTTAGAAACGACGGCGCCAGCAGCGGTGGAAGAGGTGTGTGTGCCGTGACCTTCGGTGTCTCGCGGGGACTTCGATTCGGCGGATTCATCAATAGGATTTTCGAGGTAGGCTTCGTAGCCTTTATAGAACGCTTTGGCGCCGATGATTTTTCTATTGCAGGAGGAGGCGGGGAAGTCGCGTGAGACTTGGCAGGATCCTTTCCACGTGGAGGGAACCGGAGAGAGGTTGTCATCGGAGAAGCTCTTGAGCTCCGGCCATATTCCAGTGTCGAGGACGCCAACGATGACGTCGTCAGCGTAGTCGGAGCCTGGCCAGAGACCGAAGGAGTCAGCGAGGCCAAGGAAGTGCGGGGTGTGAGTGGTGTGGGGATGGCGAACCTGGTCAGGCTCGACGGCGAGGACGGCGGGGTGGCGGCGGAGGTGGGAGGCCTGGTAGGGTGTAAGGCGGACGGAGAAGCCAGCAGCGGCGGCAGAGTAGGTGTAGAGAAGGGTAGCGGGGTGGGGGGAGGGAGGGAGGGAGCGGAGGATGGATGTGTACCAGTGGTGGTGAGTGGAGAAAAGCGTGGGCTTCTGCGATTGCGCCACGTGGATTATGTAGGTTCGTGGAGCGTCCGATGAGGATGCGACAGAAACAAGAAAAAACACGAAAGAAACAGAGAGGAACGTTAAAAGAGATAACCGAGAAGTAGGAGAAGCCATGAGGAGTGAGTTGGAATATAGTTCTTCTGTGTTGTTGTGCTGTTCCTTCAGAATTGGAGGAAGGGTTTAATGAGGTTGCATGGTGGGTGCAGTGTGTGGTGGCACAGCTATGGGTTCTTTCTTTGTTGCTTAAATCTCTGTTGATAAACACAATTCTCTTATATTATGTATTTAAACTATAAATGGGGGAAGGTGAAGAGTTGGAACAGCTATTATTATTATTATTATTATTATTATTATTATTATTATTATTATTATTTATATTATTATATTAGTAATTAGAATAATTGTTATTTGGACTAATAAGGGTATGGAGAGATTGGGGCCCAGTGAAGGAGGTACCCAATAATTGAAGGACGTATGGTCTTCAAGGGTTAATCATTCTGATGTCTTTGCTAGGAATAGGCGATGTAAAACGATGCAGTGTTTGGATTTTAGTCCAAAAGATTCTTCAAAGATTAATCATATCACTACTCTGCATTTGCGTAGCAATTTGGTAACAGTTGACACTTAAGTTATCCCTTCTCATATTTTTGTTAATTATATAAAAGATAATGAAAAATAATAAAAATTCACAAGATATTAATTTTAATATCGATATAATATTTTTCAATCTATCCATCCAATTTTTTAAATGGAAAAAAATGATTTATATTTTTGAAATTATTCAATTTGTCTTTCAACTAAATAAACAATTTAATCTAACATGTAATCAAAATTATAAATACAAAGAAATATTTTAAATACAATTTAATTTTTTAACCACGTATTACTATACTTTCTATAAGTTATAAAAAATTATTTATTGAATATTATTGATTTTGCTGCTCTTCTTAAAAATATTATCTGAATTATATCATTTAAATTTTGATTGTATACCATAATAAAAAAAAATAAAGCATTGCCTTAATATAGAAGTTTCAAAATCAAAGATTGAAAGGGAATTTTGTATATTAGTTTTATACTAAGCTAGAATAATGCACTTTCTGCTGCTATTGGACCATTTAGCGTTTTATAAACAATCAAAGTCTAATCCACTTCTTTTAACACGATTGTTTATTTCAAGATATTAAAATGTTACATCGGATTTTGCAGATTTTAGTTATATGATCTTTTAAAATATGAAGATCAATAATTATTAAGAAAGATTGTAATATACTAATCACGTTTGAAGCACACGAGCAATGCGTGTTAGTAAAAAAAATTGCTAAAGTAAAAATTACTCAACTACTCTCTACATAACAAGTATTGTAGATTTCACAAATTAAAAATCCAATATTATAAATTTTACAAAACCACATGAATGATTATAAAAAAACAAAATAGTCTGGGAAAAAGTGAAAGAATTATACTAATTAAAAAACTTTATACTTTGTATTCTTTTAAATTGACAATTACTTTTATTTACGATGTGATGAATGATCAAAGTACATAACATAAAATATATGTGAGCATTAAGAGATTTACTGAACAGGGTAAAAGCTAAGAAGATTAAAAAGTTTTAGAATTATTTATTAATCATTTTATTTAAGACAAATTATGTTGGGAGGAAAGAAAGAAAAAATAGAGTCAAAATGGTACATTTAATTAAGATGGAAGATGTTGAATTTTTTTCCATTTTAACTTGGTTGAAGTTTAAAATTATATTTTGCTAATGCTACCATTCCATAACTCTTTTTTCATTTCCACTATTACTGCTTATATTTCATTTACTATTTTGGAAAGAAAAAAAATTAACATATTCATTTTATCAGTCACAACTTAATTTTCTTTTAGTTCTAGACACCCACGCATATGCCAAGAGATGTATGATGAAGCTTGTCAAGACTTACACGAAAAAGCAAAACACAATACAAAATTAAAAATAACTATCCAATTAAAATTAGAGGAAATAACTTATATGGTAGTAATATAAAACAATTTTATATTTTCATGGCTGTAAATAGTAAATCTTTTAACTTTTATAAATAATCATCTTAAAAGTCATACGAAAAACAATATAAGAAGATGGACCTATAATATGTATATATAAGATACCATGATGAATTCATACACAGCAGATTGTTAGACTACCGAAATACCAAATGCCCTAAAGGAAAGTCATCATCATTGAATTCAGGGTGAGCAAATGCAAAGTAGCCTAAGTGGTAGTCATAGCCTAAGTGTTCATTTTTCAACAAATGTTAAATGACTACCTATTGTCAATTCGATTGACGAGTACATGATTTTGGATATACAACAGTGGCATTTTCAGCTGGAGCAGTGATTTATCCTTGCTATACAGAGACCAATAATTTCTTTCTTGAATTTCTTTTGTCCCACATATAATCTGTCACAAAAATCATAGCACATGACCTGCCCAAAGAGATGTAGAAAACAAGCTCATTTTGACTTTAGATCCATTGCAATAAAATCATCTTAAACCAGCAACTGTTATAAATCCCATAGCAGTGCAAATCCTGAAAGAAAGAAATATCAAATAAAGGGTGATGAGACCCATTCCTAATGTTCTGTTAGGATGCATGTTCTTGGCAGGTAGCACAACAAGTGCCCATAGCAGTCCAGCGATCAGAAATCCCATGGTGTAAAATAAGCTACTGTCTTCAGGCAACACGTAAACAGAGGGTTTCTTAGACGAGGCCCCAATCAGCAGTGAGACTCCCAAACCAACAAGTGTGTTGAACATTGGACCTGCATAGCATCCAGATAAAGCAATCTGAACCCCATCTTCTCCATCCAACGCCAATGAAATATTTGACATCAAATCTCCCATTGAATTTCCCCATGCTAATACAGTTAACCCCAAGATGGATGGATTAATTCCAAAAATTACACCAAATGCTACCAATAGAGCCACAAGCTCGTTTGCTATTATGTAGAACCACACTATGCTCATGATGAATCCTCCCAGAACCCAAGGGAGCAAAAACTGATGGGGCGTACGATCAGGCACCGTGTATTTATAAGTGAGAATACCAAATGTGCAACCAACAGCAACACCAACACAATAAGAAAATACAACACCCTGATTACTCACATTATCTCGGGTGCTAAACAAAATGGCTAGGAGAATCGGAGCCAATGAAGAACTGATCACAGAATAAGGCTTTGACCATGCTTGTTCATCGACCATTGGAATTGTTAGCCGCCTAGGAATAGCCAGTGGAATCTCCATCAGCAGAAAAAGTTTTGAAACTGAGAATGACGTCCTGGTGTTCTCAACAGACCCGTCACTCCATCCCCAGAGAGGCCTTTCATCATCCAAAAAATTGATTTTGCTTGATTGGTTTGAATATATTGCCACATTTGAAGACCACATCCACTGTGGCAACGATGGAGGGAGGCGGGGAGGATCGCTCTCGGTGTCTTCAAGCAAAGAGCTAAAGATTGAAATATCATCTTCCAAACCTAGAGAGAACACACTTCCCTGGACAGGAAGCAATGGTGTGACAGCATCCAATTTCAATCTCTGTGCATGTTTCCTCAATATCTCATTGGCAGCAACAATGAATGCATACACAAAATAAATGGATACAAAACCAATTGCCGCTCCAACGCCTACCTTACCAACAACCAAAATCAAAAGCAGCGAAAAGAGAGTCACAAGAAAGAAACTCACATCCCTTATAAAGCATCTTCCATCGATTTCAATCTCCTTCTCCGCAACGCATAGCGAAACAGCTCCAACAACAATAGTGGTAACAAAAAGAGCACCACCCAACACACTGTTAAGACCCACCTCACCACTTTCAGCACCCACAAAAGAAGCTATACTAGCAAACACATCAGGTGCTCCATTCCCAAGCGGAAGCAACACAACCCCAGCCACAGTTGGAGGCAATTTCAAGATCCTTGACAAGTTCTCAAGAGAAGGGCAAAAGTAATCTGCAGCAGTGTTTCCCAAGAGATAAAACAAAGCAGCAAGCCACACAGCCAACACTAGATAACCAAACACTCTAAAACCCTCACATGAACAATAGAAAAACTTCAGGTAATCAAGATATCCATCAGAAGAACACTGTGGATTGACCTTTAAGAATTCACAGGGACTAGAATAACCATCATGGTGGACCAACCCAGAACATAATTCGGAAACACCCAAATCATTCTCACCGGCAACACTTGAAGTGTTGGCGCTAATTTCAGCCATCCGACGTTGAATTACAGAAGACCCATCTCTCAAAATCGAATTTTGAGGCAACCCGTGGTTAGCAAAATAGGATGATTGCCTGAGAATTGGGTTGCGAATGATGTCTTCCCGATTGTAAAAGAAGAAAAACACAACCATGGCACACAAAACGTTGAAAACCCCATGAAACTTTCTTCGTTTTGCACCAAACAAAGTATTTGGCGCTTTCATATCCAATAATAATATCCAAGGAAGGAGTTTAGGGTCCGAATTATGGAATCCCAGAAACGGAAAATTGTCTAGGGTTTCGATTTCTAAAAGGAGAAACGAGACGCGAGAGTGAGAATTGAGGCAAAATTGGAAGAAGAATTGGAGAGGGGAAAGATGGCATTACAGAGAATAGGAGTGGGAATTAAAGAATAATGGAACTTACCCGATGAATTGAAGAAGCAGAGGAGTGAGAGTTCAGAAAGGTACGGGTTTGGGGTTTTCGCCGCTCCTCTGCATGACTCCAACAGAAAACATTCTTTCATTCGGTCTCTACGCTGTTAAACGTATACACACAGAGAAGATTATTTTTTATTTTATGATTTTTTGTTTTATAAAATTATATTTTATTATTACAGTCCTGTTTTTGTAAAAAATTTATGTTGATCTCTTTTATTAAAAGATATTCAATTTAATTTTTTATTTAAAATTATTAATATTCATTTCTTATATAATAACGTAATAACATTATTATTGAGTTTCTAGGTTTTCAATACATTTTGATAAAAAAGAAGGAGATATATGAAGTGGAAGAGTTTTTTTAATATAAATAATATCAAATATTAACTATATTTTAATCTTATTTAGGATGAAAATAATAATTTAATATTTTTAAAATAATATTTAAAAATTAAAATATAATAAATAAAATAAATTTATTAAAATAACCTTATTAATATATGTGTTTAAGGAAATTACAATCGGATTTTTTTATCTGTGTTTAAATAACGTGTTAAGTAACACGAGTTTACTATTCACTTTTTTTTCCCTTAAAAACTATTCACTCATTTTATCAACACTCTATATAAGTATTTTATTTCTATACCTTGATTTTACATTTTTCACCTTACACTTTTTTTGTCCTATTTTTTCTTTTTTCCCTAATAAAACATTTTTTTTCCTTTCAAAATTCATTCAGTAAAAATATTGTTAAAAAAAATTGATATTAAGTTTTCTACGTGTTTAACACACAATGACATCACATATTTAATATTATTATAAAGTACTTCCTATAAAATTATGTGCTCTTTCTACATTTAAAAATGTATTTTTCGAAATACAGTTTTATTTTCTTAAGATGCCGAAAAGTGTGAAGTACTTTCCCTAACATGCCATTTAAAAAAACAATGGAATGTGTATTTAGTGAACAAAGGGGAGTGTAAATAGCATAAGATTAACATCAAACCTTATAGTCGGGTCTCATTTGATTGAGGCCCAATATCAACTATCGTTCAAGCCCTACGATTTTGACGGAAAAAACATTTGGTAACTCTTATTTTTTTATTTTATATTTTTAAAATTCGTTTTTTGCCATTTTATTCATTTAACACACTTTCTTGTTCATATAAACACATTCTATTAGCAAAGTTTGAAATATTATTAACTACAAAATTATGAAAACGTCAAACAAGAACTTGAGGGGAAAATTATCAAAAGACAATGAAAATAAATTAGAGACCAAAAATTTATCATTTCTCATCTCATTATTGTTGTCCCTGTGAGTTTCTATTTAAAATAAAGCAGAATAAGAAAGAAAAAAATAAAAACAAAAGCAGTTGTACAAGTGCACTTATAAAAACTGGACATCTCACGTATAAGACTTCACACATAATTTTCCAAATTGATTGGTGTAAGTAACAGACACGAGAAATTAAGTTAAGATTGTGACATTACATGTTAGATAGAACAAACACATAGTTCGCTAGTTATTAGCGTTTTCTGCATCACGATTAAGTCTGATTTGAAGTCAGAAGATTTTTTTTTTATTTTTCCAACCCCCTTCTGTTCTGAGAGTGTTTGTGCAGGGTTGTTCTCAAGAATTGTTTATAATGAAACAATAGACGAAGTCAAAATTGGTTGTCTACATGCACTTTCTGGTAGAATCTACGGCAAAACCGCAGGCCTAATTCTGGAAACAACACATTCGTTGACAACCTACAATCACGGGAACCATTATTATGATGGCCTAATTTTTTTCACTTAATAATTGCCCAATTGGTTTTGAACAGCACATAAACAATTCTGACAATATGACAAATAAATGAATGGATGGTTCATGAGGCTATTTTTATAATGTTAATCAGATCATTAATTAATTTGTTCGAGCTAATCATCGCTGATTGGTGTTCATAGGGCAATGTGAAGAACCCTTTTAACTTATTCAAGAATTAGATAAACTACTTTCCCGGAAAGGGAGGAAAATCACACAATTGATGGGAAAGTTTGGACGCTTGTTGAGGGTGGTTTAGGCGTTATTTCTGTGGGAGTAACTACCAACCCTTTTCAAAGACTAAGACAGTGAATTTTTTTGATATTATATTAACCATCATCCTAACTAGCAAGAACATCCACTCGTATCTTCGTCAAGTACACCAATATTGACAAGAGTTATTCAACCATTGGTCTCATTTGTCAACTGGGTAGTAACCTCTCATTGCTACGTAAGACAACCCAGTTGCAACTGAAAGTGGAGAACCTAATCATTTTGCTTCACATTTTCTCCAAAACTAGAAAAGTTAAATTCCATGCTTTTTGAAAGAAAAACCAATGCTGAAGACAGCTTTTTTTCAGTTCAGTTTGCATGGTCAGTGTAAATATTTTTACACCATGAATCAGTCAACACTTTTGTTAAATGCCATTTAAGATAATTATCATTTAACTCCTCAAACTTCCACGCATAAGATAATATGTTAGCAAAATTTAAAATTTACCAAACGTCCAAGCTTCTCTACAAAGATAAACTCGTTGTAGAACCAAACAAACCTGTCAAATAGCTAGAGATGACTGCTTTCTGCTTCAGGAGTATAATGCTATTTTGCATGATAAAGTTTAGCTGAGGAAATACAACAAAACTAACGTTCTTGACCAGATGATATATATGTTCATTGAAAATTGAGTCATATGGAGCTAAGTGGGGGCTGTCGCAGATCATGATAGAAACAAAATAGACCAAGTTCCACCTGACACGTCAGTCTTGTGTTCCAGAATGTTCTGTCTAGGATAATCACAAAACTGCATTCTATCTGGCATTCGTTCTGTAGCGAGACAATTTTATTAGGACTCAAATAGTTTCATATATTATACTCAAATCACAGAAATACTATTTTATTAGTACTCATAGTTTGATATATTGTAACATACATTTAAAGAGAAAATTTACTAGTGATAGTTCTAAATGAATTTGACTCGAATCTAAAAGAAACGAGAGATTAGTTGTCATCACACTGTGTGGCGCCAGAAAGATCTAAAGGGGCAGAGTGAAGAAAATCACAAATAGATGAGACCACCCAACCACTTTGCATTCCTAAGGCATAACCTTAATCATTCCTATGGCCCTTGCTCCGTCTTTGTATGATACTAGCCACCCATCTACTTTTGTTTCCATGTCAAGGCTGTATTTACTTACAGCTTGTTACCATTTTTATAGGGAAAGGATATATTCAATGCTGATGTGTCGTAGAGGAAAAAGCCTTAAACAAATTTTGATTAAGTTTGTCATACATGGCAAGGAAAGACCGTAGACTTGGTCAATGAATGAAAGTGTTAGTGATATTTGTACTGGTGATTTGCTCTTGTATTTTAAGTATGCATATACTATTGTAAGAATGACTGTTTTATGCAAAACTAAGCACATGCTTCAGGTTTATAAACACTACAGATATCCATGACTGTTTCAACTTCCAACTACCCAAGCTTTTCTCTGTTTCTTGTCTTGTGTAATTGACTCAATTATAATGAATGTCAGAAGCTGCATTTATACATAGCACTAAAAGTAGACCAGTCAAATTTATATTTCACCAATGATTAGTTTTTTATGCTAGTTTGGAGAAGTAGAACTCAATTATTGGTATCTTTATTTTTATTTTCACTTTAAATAAACGCAGCTGATTTCGATACACACAAGATTAGTTGAACTCTATGATCAAATTTTGAGATTTTGCAGAGTTTGACATCAGGACAGCATTGTCCCATTCTCTTCAGCTACACCAGTTGTGAAATGTGAAATGTCTGTCTTCAGTTATGAACATAATTTTATTATTTCAAACAATTAAGTGGAAGAATAGAAAACAAGGTAACTGGTATCAGTGAAGCAAAATTCTTGACCAAATTATGTTCAAATTTCTAACAAACAGATTGAAAGTTCTGTACTGGACAAAACTACAATTGAACATCTACTTTTTTCAGCTTATATTTTTCTGTCCTTATTTCCGCTGCCTTCTTCCATTTTTATCCAACCAAATACACAGTATTTTCTTCATCCCAACCCTTCAGTGAGGGTAGGGAAGCAGCTCTCAGACCTTGTAAGCACAGAAGCATGAATTTCTGTGATAGTCTTAGTTGGACTATTTGGTGTGGATCTTACTCTAGGAGAATCCAAACTCCTTTTAAGAATTTGTCTCATAGCTGATATCAAATGCACTGTTGGATTCGGAGGAGGTCCTGATGCCTTGAACTTTTTGCAGAAGTTCATGTGCTTTGCCATTGCTTCTTCTGTGCTAACAAGCCTCTCAGACCTCACAATTTCATCTTTAACAGCCTCAGCACACAACCCACAAACCCATTTTCCATGGTACCTCTCCCTGATTCTCTCTATATAGGCTGGGGTGCACTCTTCTGTTAGTCCACAACAGTCACACACAGCAAATTCAACCTCACTTTGTGCAACTAGTATGCTAGCTGCTGATTGAGTTTCTGGTGCCGATATCACCATAGGGTCAATTATCATCGGTGCAGACATTGCCAACCACCCTGTGAACAAACAATCAACACCAAAAAGGTTAATAAACACCATCTTGCTGATATTTGAGACAAGAAAAAAAAAATTCAAGGACATGCTTCAATAGACATAAATACATAAGGTTTTCACTTTTGACGAGATCAATGAACCTATTGGTTCTTTTATTCAACAAATAATGCAGAGTTTTCAGCCAATGAAGAAATCGAGAAGAGGAAAAAAAAAATCCAACCAAACCAAGCTCTTTTTGCCTTTTGAGTTTATGACAGAGCTTATTGTTTTGCTGAATGTAATAATATCAAAGAAAATTATTGAACAAAACAGGGGAAATCGAACAGAAAAACATGATAAAATTGAATAAGCAGACAAATTGAAGAAGTAATTTGACGAGGATTATTACCAGCAGAAGCAGATCAAAATGAATGAAACCAATTGTTTGTTTGTCCTTTTTGTACTTCTGCTTGCTGGGTAGGTATTCTTCTCCTGCTCTTCTTATCTCTCTTTCTCCCACTCACCTTCCTCAATTTTTTCTTCAGGGAACAATATCTCAGACATGAAAACCATTTCAGAGAAAACTTAAAACACCTTTTGCTTTCTTCAACCTCCTTCAAAGAATTAAACAAAAGTTTGTTTTTTTTTTTTTGAAAAAAAAAAAAAAAGATAACTTGGAAGAAACCCAAATCTTATGTGAGAAAACAAAGGGATTATATTTGGCTTCTCCCCAAGATCTGCACTCCTAAACTATATATGAATAGTGGGGAAGTTGGGAGAGAGAGAGAGAGAGAGAAAGAGAAAGGCACTTTGAAGAGAGAGAAAGAACATCAATGATTGAGGCTTTAAGGTTGTGGACTATGGTTTAATCCACGTCGACAAAAAATTTATTGAATGTGTGAATGTTTGGCCATTGATGATTGGATTGCCAGCTAAGCATTATGATATCGTGACTCTCTTCTTACCCAGTATGTGTTCATCTCGATTTCCACAAACCCAATCAATTATTTACGCACAAACCCTGATTAATCTTAAACACACATTTATTATTTTTCTTTAGTTGATTCGAATAGAGTTTTATTTTATTTTCTACATAGGATTTTTATTCAAATTATATGAATAAAAGAGTATGATTAGAGGAATTTTTTTAAATTAATTATGAATAAACTTTATTAATATTTTATGTAAATATTATGGTAATAATATCTGGGATTTTGAAAAAAATCCTATTAAATTAAATTAAAGGAACCAATCCATTTCTTTAACAAAAAAAGTCATTCATTAATTTTTTTAAGAATATTTCACTTTTATTTATAATAATTAGAAAAGGTTATTTTTGTTAAATTAGGAAAACTTTGAAATATTTATTTATTACAATTATCAATCATTCATTAATTTTTTTATGATTCATTTTTCAAGAACGTAAAACTGTAGCAAAATTCTTAGTTAAGAACGAAATAGAAGTTTTTCTATTGTTTAATTATGGAAAGAAATTAACAAATGAAAAAACATTAAAGGCAAATGAATGGTTGTATTTTTTTTTTTGTTTAAATGGTAATTTAGCTTTTACTTAATCGAATGGACTGGTTGCAAAAATGAGTAAAAATGAAAACATTGATTGAGATAATTAAAATAAAAATTATTATTTTTGAAACCAATTCCAAATGAAATTAAATTATAAGATTTCTATTTAAAGAGATGAATCTTGATTTAAAGAAAAATTGGGGGAAAAAGTATTTGTATAGAAAGGAGGAAAAAGACAAGATAATTAATTAAAAATTTTTTTCTTTCTGAAGGCATGTTTTTCTCATGATTAAAAATGTTCTTCAATCAAGTTGTTGCTGACTCGGTGGTGTGAATTCGCGATTTGGACCAGATCAAAGGTTCCTGTGGAAATTGAATTGAAGGGAGATGAAAAAGAAGGTATTTTAACACACATCTATTTAAGAATAAATAAATAAATATATAAGAGATAAAAATAGTTATTTAATATTAAATTAAGATTTGAATAATAGAAATCTACAATTTGTGTACGTCATATATTTTGTTTTTCTCATTTGTGAAGCAATAACTAATTGACGCGTGAGATGTAAATAATGTTAGGAAGGTACAGTACAGCTTGCACCATTACCTCATAAAGTGCCTTCTTAATTTCAATTACAGCTTCTTAATTTCTCGAATATATAGTTTTTATTTTTTAAAAATTGTATTTGTGAAGCCAATTTTTTATATGATTTGCCGTATTGGTAGGTAGATGTGAGCGCATACATTGGAGATCACCAAAATAAACAACCATTGGCTCAAATAATATGAATTCTTTTTCGTTATTTTATGACCTCTTTACCAGATAATAATAAAAATTGATGCCACCCATTTTTAATTCAACAATAAGGACAACCACGAAGTGTATAAATTTTGTATTTTGTATTTTTCTTTTCTCGAGCTACATCGTTCTTTTCTTCTCCCGGAGGATTTCATAGTCGTAAGTTTTTTAGTCTCGTGGATATAACAATTAAAAGGTTTCCCCAAAACAATTGTAAGAAGTTTGGTTTTTCTCATTAGTAATTTGCGCAACATGAAATTAAAACGTACACTGATTGAATGTGTTATTGATTTGGCGTATCTTGATAACGTTGGAGAAGATTGAAAGAATGTGAAATAGAAGGTACAAAAATAATATTCTTGAGAGGGAAAAAAGAATTAAAAAAATTTGACAACAGTTGAGAATAAAGGGAAGAGGATGGGGAATTATTCTTGCGGGTAATTATGTCAAGGTTCGCCATATATAGCGTATCTAGTGAGGTATTCTGATTCCAAAGTGTGACAACTATAAAGGCCAAGAACATATTCATGATGTGGAACAAAAAACAAACCGTAAGTAATGTTCACTTTTTTGTTCCGAAAAGAGTTTGGTTTGTTTTTATTAGATGAAAGATGGTATGGTATGATTAATTTGTAGTAATAAGATGACGTGGTAATGTGGGGTCAATAATGTTGGAGAAGTGAAATTTCGATGCCTTTAATAATTTGGTTGGGTTTGTTTGCAAACGGAGTGCTTCCTACGCAACCACTTCTTTCATCGACCCCACTTTCATTTCTCATTGTTAAACACATCAAAAGCTAACAAAACCAAATATTATTGTTTATATGTAGTCATATTGTAAAAAAAAAAATGAATTTCATGAGACATATTGGTGATTAAATGGTGATGCATTCGTTAATCAGAAACCCTGAGAAGGTGGCATTGAAACTAAAATTTTGCAGGAGCAATAAATGAGTGGACCAAAGACTGCAATGGCGATGAAGGAAGAGGTGGCACTGTGTCCTTCTGACAGTGACCTCCACTTGGACACTGTGACACCATCTTTGTGCCTTCTCCCACACAATGTTCCTGTCCAGGGACAAACCCACCCTCCCCAATGCTCCACCTCTCCTTTTCCACTGCAACATTCCACCAGATATACTTCCCAACCTTCTCAAATTTCATTTCTGGTGTGTCAACTTCTAACTCTCTTCACATGCACAGGGCAACACCCTCATTTCATACCAATCCATGCATTCTCCTTCTCTACATCCTTTTCAATGCCTACACCTCTTCTAATTACTTTTTCCTCTTTGAATTTATAAATATGAACCTAGGATATTGTCAAGGTTTTTGTCTTTAGCTAAAATATAATTAAACTCCAATTTTTCATCAAATGTGAAACCACTTGTTTTGATATATATTGGTTTAGGTCAACCAAAACCAATTTTTCTTTTGGCTTTCAATGACGATGGCAATTGGAGAATATAATATGAACTTAATTAATGCTGAAATGGACGATTGGGAATTCATTTAACAGTGGTATCATCATGCCTTACGCTACACACATATCATGTGTATGCTTAAATTGATTTATAGCATCTAAGTGAAAGTGATTAAATCAAAATTAACCGTTAAGGTTCGAAAATAAAACCAATTAGTAATATTTGAAGTAGTCTAATAAGTATTTAAATCATACTAAATGATATGAGGTAGGCGATGTGAGACTGTTAACACACTTCCTTCAACGAAAGCCCGTCGGACCAGGTAAAGGATGTTTTTGACCCAACTAAAGGACAATTTTTTGCCCATGACAATAATCGGAAATATGTTAGGCTTTGGTTCTGATACTATGTTAAGCTTCTAACATAAAATCAATTGACAATATGTGGAGTAGCCTAACATGTATTTAAATCATACTAAAAGATATGAGGTAGGTGATACGGGACTTCCAACACTACCAATAAATTATATTAATATATACTTCCACGATTTTGTTATATGCTTCACATGTCAATCATATGCATATTTTTTTTCTTTCTCTTCAATTATATTAATTATATTAATATTCTATTACGATTACAAGTCCTATATTATCTTAGTAAATAAAAAACCGAGAAATAAATGGGGTTATTAATTTTTCTTTTTCCCATCCATCAACAACACTCTAGATGAAGAATGTAGAAAAAGATTTTGGTCAATCATTTTATCATAATGTGTTTTCAGATAATAATACGATAGGAAGGAACAATGGTGTACGTCATAGAAGATAAGAGATGAACGAGGATTGGTTCTTCTGTTAATCAAACTCCTTGCTAAATGAATAGGGTTTTTCTTTTCCAGAATTATTAAAACCTTTTGTAAAATCATGAAAAGTAATAATAGATCCAAGGGTTTTTTATACCATATAATTGGTATCAAGATTAGCTGGAACCAAATCTTTTTATCTCTTTATCTATTGCTATAGAATATAGATTTAAAAAAAACACACACAGGATGATAGAGTCTAAATTTAATGGATGAAACATATGATTTGGATTTTGAATTTTGATTAAATATTTCTTACCTGTTTGGTACAGCATGTGACTCTCACTTTGGATGGATAACATATTTTGGTGGTATGGTGGAGAAAGGGTGTTATGGAAGGTGTGTTTGTATTGCGTAGCCCACACAAAGTGACAGGGTGATTCTTTATGGAATGGAAGGATTGTGTTGTTTCCACTTTCCATGCCAAAAATGGCAAAACTTATCATCCTGTTTTTCCTTCCTCAGTACCACAAAATCTCAACATCTCCACCAATTATTTACCAAATTCAAATATTTCTGTTTATCTTTCTATAATAATTCATCATTCAAAACAAATATGTCAATTCCATTTCATATATAAACTAAAAAAAAAAATATATATATATATATATATATATATATATATATATATATATATATATATATATATATATATATATATATATATATATATGCAGTTAGATGGAGAAGAGAACAAACATTATTATATACTTTTTATATTATTTAGTTTTTTCTTTTTTTAGTTTCTAAAAATAGTTTTGTAAATTAATTTTGAATTTTTTTTTAAAGTGTTAATATATATATATATATATATATATATATATATATATATATAAAAGGTTAGTCAAGAATTAAAAATTCATCTTAATTACTATATTATTAAAATATAAATAATAACAAAAATCGTTAACTCTTAATTAAAAAGAAACTGAATTATTATTCTAAATATATATATATATAGTATAATTTTCTTATTTTTGTTCAAAGAAATATCCATCCTTATGATAATTATGATGAGAATGAAAGCCACCATTCATTTCCTCCATGTTTGTCATAAAAAAGAGAACCTCCATTTGACCAAAAACACATATAACAACAATTTCTTGATTTATTTATTTATTTTTATTTTCTGGTTCCAAAATCTGAAAGCATTAAGTGGAGGGTTTTACTAATGGTTAATGCTCTACCTATACTTGTCCTCTGCCAATATACTAGTCTATCGTATGTACTTCATTTTTCCCTTTTAATACATGATAGCTACGCATTAATTTGATATGGTTTAGTATGTGTCCACACCAAAAATAACGTTGTTGAGTTGAGACATTGTTTTCCAAACGTAAAAACAGTTTAAGAATCCGATGTTAACATTTCCTAAGTCCTCCTATGAATTACAACAATATTTTTGACTTAGCAATTTTCTCCATGATGAAGTAGTGGAAATAGTTTTAACAAAAATTCTAAATCAATATTCTCTCAATTTCACTTTTATTTTTACCCCGTTAAACGAATTTTCTTTTTGTCAAAACATTAATTATCTTTTTTTAAAACGCTTTTGAACAATTAAATAGTTTATAAATTTTTCATTAATCATTATTTTTTTTTTATGTTTATGTCAAAACTTGATACATGAAATTTTGTCGCAATTCGCTCAAGTGGACCTTTACTTAGTGTGTTCAATCAAAGGAATTTAATTGAAGATTTGTTTGAAGTTTTGATGTTGAGGACGTGAGAAGGTTAATGCCACAAACTTTGGTTTGATTTGATAACCACACCCTATAACTCTAATATATGCCATTCGAAAGCATGAACATAGTTCATTGCAAAAATGAATGGTTTCAGATGATGGAATCGCAGGTACTGTTGTGGATATTCTAGTTTTTATTTTATAACATATTTATGGAATAATTATGATATCATTTTTTTTAATGTAGATTAAACCAGTAGAAGGATAATTAAGAGTTTTAAGGGTACTTTTTTTAAATTTATTTGGCTCAGCAAAAAAACTACAAATAGTATGTGAATTAAAGTTTCTCATTTATCCTGTATTAACTCCTTCTCTTCAGTCTTTTTTTTTATATATATACGTAAAATTTTATTCTATTTGTATTATTTCACAATTTTTATCGATAAGTCTTCAACGATTTAACATTTTATTTAGTTTCCTTTCAAGTACAAGCTTCTTTCACACAGGATAAATACGTTCATGATGGAAAATTTTATCAAATGAGTAACATATTTCTAGAATGAATTATATTTTATCCATTAAGATTTTTCCTTCACCAGAAAAATCCATTGAGATTTCTCATTGAAGTTGCTAGTTCTGATAAATTCCTAATATATATTATATTGAACACAAAAATAATTTTCCTTATTTATTGTTTCAATACATAATAGTTGTGTGCAGTTTCTGAAGAACTAAATGAATGGCTCCGAAGTCTGTGACATGAAATTGCAACTAATTTACGAGGTCCACTAGGTCAAATATTACTTGGTGTGAACTGCATCTGCATCTGCAGCTATTGCTAAGGCCATTATAGCAGTACTTGGTTGAATTGCATGTATCATTTTCTCGTTTCATCAACCAATAGATTTTGTTGCTTAAACGGTCATTCAAGTTTTCAATGATCAAAAGTGAATGTGCTGTGTTAGGGGTCAGGTTTTGAGAATCATTGGTAAGTAATCTGTCCAAATCTTTCGAGTGTTTTGTTGGTAATAAACTTTCAAGATTGAATGAAATGCACTTGTTCACTCACCTGGTCCAACTCAAACTTTTTTGTTACTCACTCCAACCATTCCCACCAAACTGATAATGATTATGGGAAAACTAGCACGTTTAACAAAGCAAAATAATTGAATGTATTACACAGTACACCAAACATTCAATTTACAAAGACATTGATTGAGCAAACACTTCTTCATTCAAATTACCACGAATTATTTTAATCGTTTATTGGACAGTTTGCCACATTATTACTATTTACATATAACTTGGATCTGGGGAAGCATTTACAATTACTTTTCCCCGGCCAGCATCAAAGTTAAAAGTATCCAATGATGAGTTGGTTCCATTTGATCATCAGAGTGAGTATCAGTATATTAGGCGGCTGTAATCACCTCCGTGTGGGTTCCTTATTGCAGCATAACACAAAAACTGCAGTTCCTATGAGACATGTTCCGAGATCAATGGGACAAAAAACACCCAATGACACGCAATATGGTACAAACATAAATCTAATTAAAACTGTCTTCAACTACAACACTACCTCTTGTGTATCATGACCCTCGGTAGATTCTTCCTCAAGCTCTTTTATTAGCCTTTCAATTTGCCTTCTATAAACAGGCATGAAGTGATCCTTGATCATTCTCTGTGAGAGTCTAAGTTTACTATATAAAGACCTGGAAGTTAGATAAATCCCAATCTTAGTCTCATCTAGCTCGCTACTGTCTGAACTTGCAGAGGTTGGGCTATCATCATTTTCATGCTCCGTGTCAGAATGGAGTGTAACAATGTGCATTATCTTTCCTGGAGGGAAAAATCTGTGGATTTCTTTCATTACTGATGCAGAACTCTGGGCTTGATCTACTTCATCTGCTATGGCTGCTTCCTCTTCCCTTATCTCCTTTACAACATCAGTCTCCTCAACTTCAGGACCGTCATACAGCTCATGCTCCAGTTGATGCCATAAATCCACTTCACTCATCTGATCCTCATATCTGTCATGGTCCATTACGTTCTGACCATCACCATGATCCACATCCAGCTCAGTATCAGAACAACTTTCATTGCCACATTCAATCTCAGAAGACCACTCTTCTATAGATGAAGATACAGGAAGGTTCATATTTGTTGAATTAATCGCCTTCTTGGGGGAACCAAGAAGTGGATCCAAACTGTTAAGGTTGGTAGAGGAAGATGTAGGGGGACTTCCCCCGTCCTTGGAGTTTGAATAAGCACTCAAGGCTCTGCGACGGGGTCCTATGCATGACCAAGAGGACAAATTAAGGTTTGGACGTGCCCATGCTGCCTGAGCCATACTCTTTGCTCTCCTCATCACAACCTGCAGTTTTTCAAAAGTCAGACATGGGGTAGAAGCACTAGCACTTCTTGCATGATCAGATTGAACACATCAACCCGAACCGTAGAAGAGAACTAACAAGATTAGAAACTCTTCCAAGTTAGGCTTATGATCAAAAGCATAATAAATAGTATTTACTCTTTTTTTGACAACAAGATTGCAACAACAATAAGTTTTGATCAACATAAGAAAGACAACCAAATAAAAAGACCTTTTCTTTTTAATTTCCAACATTAGATAGTTCATCCCACCCTGCTTTGGAAGACAATATATAGTTGCATGATGAACGGAAAGTGAATTGATCTTATAAAACAGAAGGTAAAAGTACCTGAGTACCATTAGAAACTGGCTGCAAAATGGCCCCAGCACCAGCAACTTTCGCTCTAGCAGTGGCAATTGATGGGAGGCGAGAACCTAACGCTGAAGCAGAACGGTAGACAGTACTGAGTATTCTTGTTTGCTCAATTTGATTCCTTAAATCATTTATCCATGCTGATGCTGTCACCTGAAAATTGGAAAAGTAATTTTTATGCAAAAATGATGCAGAATAGCAAAGTGAAATTTATGAACTGCAAACATCCATCATGCAACCAGCATTGTAGCAAGTCCATGGGTTTATCCAAGTTCCAATAAGGCAAGCAAACCAAATCAGGAGCATTATCAATTACAGTGAAGGAATTTAACTTCATGCGAAAGTAACAAGCACAACCAATGCAAAACTTCGTAGAATCTCCATAACTTTTTGTATGAGTAGGGATATCTATAATACCACTATCTAAAATATCCCACAGTTCATACACAGTTTCAATAGAACCTAAAATCAACCATGATGTCTTCTACACTTCTCAGGGTTCATGCATTTCTTATCAACAACAACTGAACTGCAAGTTCTAATTACTTAAATTATGTGATCCCTTAGTGAATCTCCCACAAATATGACCAAATATTTGTCAATAAATCAGGAGTACAATAACATTTTCCAACACAAAATGCTAATGATCACAACCTCAGAACGCAAGTCATCTACAGAAGCAGCTGAGAATGTAGGCACCAAATCAGCTCCATTGATAATAGAAGTAATAAAACTGTCGCCCGACTCTGCCAACTCCCATGTCATACAAGCAGCTGCAAGAGTAACAAGATGTCAGGTTCAAGAGACTTGCTGTGTAAACCAATATTAGTCCCAAAGTGCTCTGGGATACTACCGTTTCACTTTGAAAATAAAATAAAGAATCATACTGACACCGGACATGATATACTGACCTGGAGCAAATGTAACACATGTAGTGACAGACAGTTCCTTTCTCTCTCTCAACACATAAGTTAGAATTGCTGCAGTGCCTCCACCTAAAGAGTGCCCAACAATCTACACAAAAGGACTATTAAATTTAATACGGAAAAACAATAGAAACATCTACTAACTATTTAAAGCTAACTGAATGATTTCAAGATATAATAAAAACTTTATTTGTAAATTCAAGATTTTAAATGTGGAAGAAAAACCATGATGTGATGATTACAATCTGCTAGATATGCACGCTTGATAACTATATTAAAAAAATAATATATTGAAAATTTAAAAGAAAAAATTATATTATGGTCTAATAGGCAAGTATGTTAGAAGGATTATTTAGTCCAAGAGTGGCGAATATCATAGAAAAAGACATCTTTACCTTGACTTTATAGTCAGGGTAGTGGCCAAGTGCTTCAAGGAGACAAGGAGTTGCAAGCTTTGCAATCCATCGAGCAGCAGCAACCATTCCACAATGGGCATAACCCAAAACCAAATTGCTGACACCCCCCTGATGAACAACAGTGTGATGGAATGGTACCACGTTTCCTGTAACAGCTGTTAGAGTATCCTTGATACTATGCGTGCCACGAATCAATAGCAAAAGGCATTTCATCTCATGATCAGCTATTATAGTAAAAGCTGGTTTCAAAATCTGCATGACAAATGAACAATGGGTTTAAATATTCATTGTCTTTACAACATAAATACAGCTTACTGAAATGGTAGCAAGTATTACTTATTCATCAAATTCAATTGAGTCCCCCCCCGCCCCCCCTAAGAAAAAAAAAAAAAAAGCTCACAAAAAATGTTCAAACAAAGAAACAAAAAAAGGAAAGAAACCTATTATCTCCGCCTCAAAAGAAAATGTCTATCAATAGCATATTCAACACAGGGTACAGGTTCTGAATTATTATCACTATTTTTTTTTTAAATTCAAACAAGACATACTCCTGCTTTGGCTTCTCGAAGGAGAACATTTTCTTCATTGTAGCCAGTTTCTTCTAAAAACAAGGGAAAGGGCTTCTTTGAAAAATGCCAACACAGTGTCAACAATTTCAAGAGATACTTAAGTTCAGCAGTGATCTCAGATCCTTTCAGTTGTACACTATCCTTACCACAAAATTCACTGTCAACATGATAGTTCCCCTGCAAAGTATAATTAATAAGTGTCAAACTTTAACAAAAAAATAAAAAGGAATTACCAAAACCAGAAACTACATTTGCATGTTAAATACAGATAATGTTAATGTTCTGAGTATCAATTGTCTAGTATCTTGGGGTTCACTTGGATTAGACAGTAAAACAATTGACTTTAGAATTGAGTTTGCCCAGACATTATTCAGTATAACATCATTTGAATCATAGTTGTAGGGAAACATTCAGTCCCAACATGTCAATTTATTTTTGTGGCTGACCTTGTTCGAAAAACTAGTAGGTCTTATTTCTTACTTATTCCTGACTACTCCACAGAATTCATTCCTAATACAAATCAATTCAGAACATATTAGCTGCACAACAAATACTATGAACATTTATTTCGTGCCTAACCAAAATCGAAATAAACATGGCATTTGTGCCCAACCACAAGGATTAAAAAGCAAAATGCATGATTATCATACTCAAACTACACATTAATGTGCACAAATTAAACTGGCACAAAACCATTATTACAGAGACACTTGTCATCTACTTTTGTAGAGCCGAAGTCTAGAACTTCTGTTTGATAAATTAATATCATGTCCTCCAAGGATGCCATACATAAGGCAGAACAGGTCATTTTGTAGAAAATGGTCTGTTTTCTAAGCTACCTTAGCGATATTACTCTACCAGAAAGTAAATACAAAAACGAAAACTTCAGATATAATATAAATTATAACTGTTCTCCAAATACAGGATTTACCTAATTTTATTTTATTCAGATGGGAAGCATTAAATTGGGCTTCCAACTATCCAATCATCAATAATGTTATTTATCCATGAAAAAGTTCAACTAACTCATAACTTTCTAGACCACTATCCATTTTCTTTATCTTTATCTCTCTTCACCTTTCACTCATTTATTTCAGTGATGTGTAATCCTTTAGTATGTGAGGAGCATGTGTTATGTGCAGGTTGCAGGTTGCAACTACCATTTCTGATCAATTATAGTTCTACCTAAAAAAATCTGTACCTGGCATTCATACTATATACTATAT